AAAGAAAGAAAGAAAGAAAGAAAGAAAGAAAGAGAAAAGAAAAGAGGATGAGTAGAGGAGAGAAGAGGGAGGGAAAGAGAATTAACAACGACATTCCCTCTTCCACCTTGGAGATTTCCACATTTACAAATAAGACTGGGTCCTGACAGGACTGTATCAAATGCACTATTTGTGAAGACAAACAGAAAAAAATCTGGCCAAGGAATTTGAGAAGACGAGAGCTGAAGATTAAACTATTGAAATCTCCTCATTTCTAACTGTCTGATTGGAAATCGAGACTAGGGCTATTTGGGCTCTGAGCCTCAACATTTTTGGCGCCCGAACAAGGACTCTAGAAAATTCTCGGTGTTTCCCTTTAATTCTTCCTGCTGTGATATGCTCCCTACCTTTGATGTCGCCATTGCATTTGCCGTGTTCCGCAGCCCTCGAATGGCCATGGCACGTGGCATAGGCTCTCCTTCCTTGGCTTCGTGCAGCCAACTTTGCAGGAGTGGCGTCCGCACTTCCGGCTTATGCACCATCAGGTGCTCTGTGAGCTGGAAAACCCAAAGCCAGGCATGAATGTAGCCAAAGAAACTGGATTCGGAAAGTCCATATTCTGTGTTAGTTAATATTAATGCAAGTCTATGGGTCTCACCTCAACACAGAAGGCCAAGCTGAGGTCTCTGAAGATCCCACTGGGCTTGTTTAGAGGAGGGAGGAAACGCTGTAGTAGCCCATCCAGGAAGAGGTCCTCTGAGCATGTTGAGAAGGCTCTGGGGAGGGAAGGAGAGGCAGATAAGTGCCAACCAAACTGGAGCAAGAACATCTTCCCCTTCGTCTCTCCATCACCCTACAACCAGGAAGATGTCAAGAAGATCCTCAAAGATGTCAAGAAGATCCTCAAAGACGTCCAGAAGGAAGTTAGTCAAAGATGTCAGGAAGGAAGGTCCTTGAAGACGTCTGGAAGGTCCTTCAAGACGTCAAGAAGATTCTCAAAGATGTCCAGAAGAAAACTCCTCAAAGATGTCCGGAAGGAAGGTCCTTGAAGATGTCTGGAAGGTTCTTCAAGACATCACAAAGATTCTCAAAGTCATCTAGAAGGAAGTTTATCAAAGATGTCCAGAAGGAAGGCCCTTAAGGATGTCTGGAAGGAATTCCTTGAAGACATCAAGAAGATTCTCAAAGACATCCAGAAGGAAGGTTCCCAAAGACGTCCGGAAGGAAGATCCTCAAAGATGTCTCGAAGGAATTCCTTGAAGATGTCAAGAAGATTCGCAAAGATGTCCAGAAAGAAGGTCCTCAAAGACATCTGGAAGGAAGGTCCTTCAAGATGTCAAGAAGATTCACCAAGATGTCCAGAAGAAAAAATCTCAAAGATATCCAGAAGGAAGTCCTCAAAGAAGTTTCTCAAAGACGTCCAGAAGGAAAGACCTCAAAAATAGTTAAAAGTTTCTCAAAAGATATTTAAAAGGAAAGTCCTCAAAGGCATCTAAAAGAAAGACTTCAAAGACATCAAGAAGTTCCTCAAAGATGTTCAGAAGGAAAGTCCTTGAAGATGTCAAGAAGATCTTCAAAGATGTCCAGAAGGATCATCCTCAAAGAGGTCCAGAAGGAAGGTCCTCAAAGACATCCGGAAGGTCCTTGAACTTCATTCAACTTTTCCCGAACTCCAACACAGTTGGTCTTCTAAGACTTTCAAGAACATCACCGCAGTTCTAGGAGTCCTTGGACTAAATGTCTAAGTTGACGCAACTCATGACTATGTGTCCTTCTGCAAAGTCCTTGAGATGGACCCCGTTGGGCCAGGCCTCCTTTGTAGGAGGTCTTTTCACTTCTGAACATTCTCTCTGGGCTTGCAAATGAGAACTTGGAGGCCAAGGGAAGAGAGACACCCTTCCTTGTTTACCTGCCCAGAAGGACGATGCTTTCATGGATGCGACTGGGTTCCTTCAGCAGAGTCCAAACATCCCCCGTGTCCATCTCTGCCGCAGCCTCAGGACAAGCTTTGCGGACGATGGTTTGGATCAACTCAATCACCAACCTGAGGAAGACAGCCCCCAAAAGGTCATCTATGCCAACTCCATTTTTGCCCGGCAGGAAGACACCATGCAGTTCCTCCTGATAGGTATCCATCCAGCCTCTGAATCATAGGATAGGATCCTATGGTTGGAAGAAACCCTCAAAGGCCACCCAGTCCAACCCTATTCCTGCCATGATGGAAGACACCATCAAAGCCTACTTGACAGATGGACATCTAGCTTCTAGATCTTCTTTTACATTATTATTATTATTATTATTATTATTATTATTATTATTATTATAGTAATAATAAAACCAATGCTAATCTTGGCCAATGTTTTGGATGTCTGCTCCCAGAGTCCCGATTGCTGACCAAGAGTCTAAGTCCAAAACATCTGGAGAAACGGTTTGGGAAGCGCAGATCTCAATTGCGATGGCGCTGAATGTGGGAAGGGAGAGAACAACCTTACCCGCTGAGATCCGGACACGAGGCAGGAATTTCCTGGCTGAGTTGGCACAGAAGTCTATAGCAAAGGTCCGAGAGGAGCGGGATCAGTTCAGCGCAGCCTTTCAGGGCTAAGATCACATCCCGAAGAGCCTGAAGTCCCTGGAAGCAAGAGATGAACAACAACAAGAAGGTGGAACTACAAGAAGAAGGTATAACAACGTCCCCTATGGTGTATGCGTTTGTCCTTATGGTGATCCTAGAGTTGGAAGAGACCTCATGGGCCATCCAGTCCAACCCCATTCTGCCAGGGAGCAGGAAAATCACATTCAAAGCACCCCAACAGATGGCCATGCAGCTACAACCTGCAATGTCATTGGGTGGAGGGCCTTTGGTGACTCCTGAATAGTGGGAGCTATAGCTGTTTGCGGAGGCAAGACCCTGTCTGTGTAAGTGAACACCCTAGCCACACACACATTTTCACTTTTATTATGTGTATAGATNGAGCTGCACTTTTTAAAGAAAGAGGTACTCATTCTTGAGAGCTGGCCTGTTCGAAGGGAAGTCAAAATCGTAGTCAAAAACGTTCCGTGGTCGATGTAGTAGAGTAGCACAGGTCGATGAGGTTTCCGAGGTCTAAACGTTTAATCAGTCCGCTAGAGTAAACTCGCTAGAGAGGTTCCAAACGCTGCTGATCGCGGAAAAGGAACTGAGCCGAGGCTCCCGCCTTGGGCATTTATAGTATTGGGGAGTTTGGGCGGGGCGTCCGCCAAAAAGTTTCTATTTGAAAATTCTAGAAGGTTCCGAACAGCTGCGCATGCGCAGAATAAAACCATTATGTGCGTTTTTCACAGACTACACGAAGGGGAATATAATATATTGTATATACATGTAATATTTATAATATTATAATGTAATGCAATATAATAATAATATGATGTTATAATTATATATTTATATTACATGTAATATTACGAATAATATTACAATATAGTGGTATGGTGCAATATAGCAATGTTTAATGCTGATATTATAGTATGCTAATAATTTAATATATTGTATGTAATATATACCTTGTAAGCCACTGTGAGTCCCCTTCGGGGTGAGAAGGGCAGCATATAAATGTCGTAAATAAATAAATCAATAAATCAATAAATTATTATTATTATTATTAGTAGTAGTAGTAGTAGTAGTAGTAGAAGTAGTATATTGTCAGTACCAGCACCAGCCACTAGGTGTCGGTCTTCTTTAACTAATGCATAGGCTTGCCATTGGATATTGCTTAGGGGGAAAGACTTCTTGTTTCCTTGCCTTCTGAGATAAGGGGCACCTAACCCTAACCCTTGATCCTACCACCCCATAGGAAAAAAGAGGAGGATCTGCCCCCAAATGTATCCAAATGTGCAAACCGTAGGCGGCAGATTCACCAAGCCGCTTGGCCCCACAAGCCATGGTTCCATCCAGTTCAACACTAACTCCAAGATCGAGGTCGAGAGGGCCTTACAGGTGGTGAGCGCCATCCAAATTTCCTTCCTGTTGGGAAGAAAGA